GACGCACATAAAGAGGATATTTCCCCTTCCTATGCATCTCCTCCACCGTCAAATCCACTTCCTCTTCCCAACCTCTCCTTATAAGAAAAGCCATCTATCTCTTTTGATTGTATAATTTTATTTAAGATTTGCTGTAAAAGAATTAATTCCTAATAAAATGAATACACCTAACTTTGTATTTTGTTCTATCTGTTTACTTTTATTTAACTACGAAAAATAATATCCAACTTTTGCTTGAGGTAAGACGATATTTTGACGGATAAAAATAAAAAATAAAAAACGGTATTTTTTACAACAATATATTCAATGATAGTTATAATACCAACTAAAACATACAATACTAAATATTTATATTAAAACATAGAAAATAATATGAAGACCTCATGTGGAATTATAAAACAACAATTTAAAAATAATTACTTCTATCTGCACAAAAATACAAAAGCAAGCCCTTAAATAATACTTTACGTCCAGAAAAAGGACCTTTATTGTCAAAGATCAAGATTTTCATTAATACAGATTGGATAAATGCATACTATCAAATAATTTGGAAAACAAATAATCTAAAGAAATAAATCTATATGCTTATAGCATCGTTATTCATTAATACACCAAAAAATTATTATCTTTTATAGCTACTTTCAGATTGCAGCTAAATTTAGCAATACTTTAATATCGATACGACTAAACAATCGCACAACAGTTGTGCGATTGTTGATTGTTTCGCAACCCAACTGTTTAATTGCACAAATATCGAGTAGTGTGTGCACCTCCATATAAGCTCATAGAATCAAAGCGAGACTAAACAATTGTGCGATAGTTTTGTCAACGGTATGCGCGCGCTCTAAATCTACTCTAAACAACTATCTAAATAACCATTTAAGGATATAAGTAGTAGAAAATAATAAGAATAATTTATAAAGGATTTCTTCCATGTCCGCTATGGGATGCGTCCACCATAACTTCTGATACGTGGTTTATAAAACTCAATTGTGCACTTCGTAGCTTCTTTAGTTCAGTTCTAATCAGGAGAAGCAGATAGATCTGTAAAGCTACAAGATGATCTTTAGCGGCTAATGTATGGGCTTTAACAGTGAGTAAAGGGGCTAGTTACCTCCCCCTAGAGAATCCTAGAATGTAAAAAAGATATGAAGACTACATCGCACTAGGACCGGCCTCACCGGTGCAATACAACGACCACACAGAAGTGGAAGCAATTTCGCGTACAGTCTGACGAGTGTACGTGCCGGAAGCCTTATTTTAGACTCTATTACTTCCCACCTTTTCTATGAGAAAATAATTGGAAAGGAAAGTGGATTTCAGATTTGACGGTGGAGGAGATGCACGGGAAGGGGAAACACCATCTTTCAGCGGTAGACTTTTATGTGAATCCAACTGGCCGCTTGCTAGTTTGCCATCTTATAATAAAAAAGTATTATCTGTTGTTTTTAATTCTGATTTACGTGTACTTACCAAAGCCGCAGAAGACGAATGATAGATCGATGATGGTGTTCTCAAAGTCATGGTGTATCTGTCGATGTTTCACCACGAATAATGTGAAGAAAGAAGCTAATGTTGTTGTTATTCCGTAGTAGTAGTAGATGCGAAGGAGACTCTTCTTTTTCTGTAACAATGTCTTTTATTATAAATGTGGGCGCACACCTTGGACTAAGCTATAGAAAAATTGTGTGATTGTCGATTGTTTCGCAGCTAGTTCAACTGTTTTGCACAACTAAAAATCGGGTAGTGTGTGCACCTCCATATAAGGTCATAGGATTTAAAGCGCGACTAAACTAAACAGTTGTGCGACAGTTTGAATACGTTTCACAAAACATTCAAAGACGAAAAACAGGGAATTAAAAACATTTTTGTACATAATTCTGATGTGAACAATGTAGTGTTAAATAAAATTAGAACAGAACTGGTGTGTTGAAATAAATCAAAGAAGATTGTTAGAATGTCTGTTACTCATAGCTTGCTCATTTCCCGTTTTCAGGAGCAAATCAAAACGAGAGAGAATAGGCGAGGTTTGTGTATTGTACATACCAAATGAGCTCCAATGAGCAGAATGATGTTGAAAACGATCTCCAGTGTATAGAGGAACACGGGCAGCCACATCTGAGTATAGAATGAGAGGCCTCTGTACATGCTCATCGTGAGCTTGCTCGAGTCCCCCACGGCCAGCCATGTCTCCAAACTCACTACCAGCAGAGCGAATATCTCGAACAAACATGAAAAAAAAATCTGTTATTGAAATAAAATCTATTTGTTGAAGTAAAAACAAAACACAATCAAGAATCTGTTAAATGATTTTCGAAAACGTTAAAAAATAGATGGTTTAAAGTAACGTATAGCTATCTCTTTCCTTCGTATTGGGATTGTACTGCGTATTGATATCTTCCATCTCACTCATGTAACGAAATATGTTAATGTGACGAAAGTTTTATTTTAATACCGATTGTCATTCAATTATCGAATCGCTTGAGATATTTCCCATCAAATAATCATCATAACATAAAAAATCACATGAACAATAAAAACGATTGTTTTTAATACTCAAAATAATTTTAATCAAACGATACTTCTGAAAGAGTTATGTTTTGATTGAATTTCCACTTTATGAATAACTGAAGGTGTTGCTTGTTACATCATGAACGCGGAATAAAAAAAACGATTAAAGTAATATAGTCTATATCACGCAGAGATAAAATAGCTTTCTAATGGCGAAAAAATTTTTAAATGTATCCAATTAAAACGAAAAAACAATTTTTACCTCTTATTAGTATTAATAGTGTTTAAAAAAATATTTACCAATGACTTTTGACCTCAAAATAGAATTAAATAATAAAATTTTCAATAACCAACGTAGAGATAGAAATTTCCTAGGCATTGATTATGAATAAATAATTACTAATACCTAATAACAATTAATCTATTATACTATTGTTAAATGATGATTAAATTTATACTAGCTATCGCCTGTAACACCGTCCGCGTGGAATTAAAAAACATAAACTATTTAACTACGTCGTAGTCTTAGACTCCAAAAATTAAACAAAAAAATGGGACCCACCTGCAAGCATTACCTTTCGGATAAAAAAAGAATTATCCAAATCGGTCCACTAGCGGCGGAGTTATGCCGTAACACACATAAAAAAAAAACATATCGTCGAATTGAATACCTCCTTCTTTTGGGAAGTCGGTCAAAAAGTGAGGATGTGTTCTTCCAGAGTATCCTCTACATCTATACCAGATTTCATCGAAATCCATCTAAACTTTCGCATTTATAATATTAGTACGAAGTATGATTACAAATGGAATCATTTGACAGCATTATTTCCCTCATTACATCCCGTTGTACAAATGATAACACTGGTATTAATAGCCTCATGTTTGTATTTATATGTTTATGTGGAATTATCATACTTCATATTACTCTTTATGCTCATACTAGCTTGATCCCGCAATTACGTCTGTGTCAAATATTAACAAAAGTAAGTTGCCTGTCTTCTTCCAGAGTATACTCTACATCTATGCCTTTCGTCGAAATCCGTTCAGATGTTTAGAATATAAACGCTAACATCCATTTATCTGAATTTTGAATGGATGCATGTTCGTAATTTGAAATGCCGTATCTCCAAAACAGTTTAACCGATCTTGATGAAATTTGACACAGGTGTAGTCACAGTCTGGAAGAACACTTGGGCTACTTAATAAATTTTATTTTTAACTAGCTGTTGCCCGCGACTTCGTCCGCGTGACATTAGAAAACATACGAACTATATAAATAACAAAAAAGCTACTTATCCCTCGGGAACCGGATGAGCCTTATCCCATGTGTACTCCAGAATTTGTTTTACATCTGTGCCAAATTTCAATAAGATATGTTGAACCGTTGCAGAATGTTTGAGTAAACATCAAAAAACTAAATTAATGAATTCCACGGGAACCGTAACTATTCCCGGGATAAAAAGTAGCCTATGTATTCTTCGAGACAATGCTCTAAATATTCCATTTTTAATGGAGAACCGTTCAACCGTTTAGGCTACAAACGCTAACAAACATCCATCCATTCAGACATCGTAACTTTCGCATTTATAATATTTATAAGATATATGATATGATGATATATGATTCCACGCGATGAGTCGCATGCGCAAGTTAGTAGAATTATATTTACACTTACCAAATTAAGATATCCAAGAACGATAATCCCGTATCTCAAAGGTACAAAACAACAACACCGCTTGCAATCCGGTATTTCCACTCGCATGATTCACCTACCAGCTAAGATCGATCACGACTCTTTTTTTAATTTTATACTATATTTCTCTTTTATTCCCGTATCTTTATTTACACATCTTGTGACCTACGGTCTCTACGTGTCGGACAACCCACAGCATCTGAGTTACAATTACCTTATTGTTGGCGCATCAGGAAACACGACATTACAGCGAAGTGGCCGAACAAAACCATCTGCCATTTTATTCTACAATTGAAGTTCGTTAACATAACACTATTTATAAATGGAATTTATGATCTAATCCAGAGATTCTCAAACTTTTTTCTCGTGGACCCCTAATTGGTCTTGATGATCCTCTGTTTCAATTTTTATTTAATTTATGGCCCTTAAACACAACGCCAATCCCTCTCCCAAGCCCTAAACGTAAACGCCAATAGCCTAATGGTTTGGGGAACGGACTACCGATCTTACGGTCGAGGGTTCTAATCCCGCCATTCGACTGTCGTGAACCATATCCTAGCACAAGTCTAGAGCTTAGTTAGAATGGTTAAAGGAAATATAAGTAAATTAACAAAAATCTACTAATATTGTTTATAAAAAGAAAAAAAAACAACAAACAAATGATCAAAATTTCCCATCATCGTTCACCTCAGGTCCTACTATAGACCCCAGGGGGTCTTGAAATTAAACACATTGATTTGAATCGAAACATTTATACGAATATATGTGCCAGGAATACAGATTCCAATAACTCGCACACTTGCATGCAAGTTGACACGAACCACTTACAGGCAAGTAGCTTGCACGATATTTTATTTTGTAATAGCTACAAACAGGCATGGGGTCGAGGGAGTCTAGATATCTTAACATACGTCTCATCTCGTACTTTCTTGGGAACTGGCTTGCAAGCTACTGTTACATTTACTGGCTTACTGTACCCGCATCAGCCAGAAGCAATTCAATTGATAAGTATGTCAGTGATACATTTATATAGTAGATTATTTTGCTAATAACAAGAAAATGTATTAAAGATAGTATTATCTTCGCAAAGGTCAAAGTGTATATGTAAACATAATTGACTTAATATTATTTTCCTATAGTTATGTTTATTTAGTTATATGATAAGTCCACTTATTACATACATAAAGATTGGATTGAAATATGAAGCATAGGTTTAATTTTTCTCCCTTTCCGTTTTCACGCTTTTATTATGAGGTAAGGATGGGAAAGGAAAGAGGATTTGACGGTGGGGAGACACATAGGAAAATACCCTCTTAATGTTCGTCTCCTCCTCCGTCGATTAAGGGTATGAACGCATCTGCATCTGATGTCTATGGGTTGCGGTCGCTTCGCCTTTACAGCGGATTCAGGCGGCCGCTTGTTTGCCACTTTGTGATAAAAAAAAACGTTATTAAGAACTTCTTTATTTTTTTACAATCTAAATTTATTACTAATATATCTTTGGTGTAAAGCAACATAAACATTTATCATACTTCTATATACAAGCGACATTAAAACAAAATTCTTTATACCTATGTGCTAAGAAGCATAAGTATGTTTTAGCAATAGAACATATAAAAAACTTACGTCTAATATGTACAAATTAATAAATAAATGTAAGATTATTGTATTAAATTTTATATCTGCTTATATTAATAAGCCTGCATTTTTAATTAACTAACCTAAAACTACAAATATAAACACGGGGGAATAGGAAACTTTTAGGTTTAAATCGTAGTTAAAAACATAAAAAACTGACTTCTAATTTACAAATTGTCGTATTATAAAAATTGTATTTAACCATAAAGATTCTATTTATCTATAGAGGAATTCTTTGAAATTAAATAAAAACAAAGATGAAATATTTGCATTTACAAACTTGTACCCTCAATTTTACTTAATATTTAACTAGAAAATAAATGCACCTTTTTAATATTTACCGAAGTTACAATTATAAAAACTTGCACATAGGATTTTTGAATCTAACATTTAAGCAGGGTTAGTTTTAAAATTAAAATCTATATCTGTATATGATTAAACATACGCTATTCATAAATGTACATAACAAAGTATTTTAAGTATGTAATTATAACTTAAAAGACTGTCTTAAAGTTAATAGACCAAGCACTCCCCTTAACTTACCACAGCCAAATCTCTAATTGTAACAACTATATGGAAACGCATGATAATTTACACATCAAAAATTTAGATGTATCCAAAATAAGCTTAAATCATTTCAAATGCCATCACATTTAGAACCAAAGCATAGAATGGGGATGTTTCCTAATTTTTGGAATAGCCTTTATTTTGTAGATAAACCATGTATGAACACGAAAAAAAATAGTATAAAATATAA